ATCATCGGCTCCGCCACAGGCCCTCAGCCGCCGCCCTCCAGACAGCTTGCGTCAGAAGCAAGCTTGGCCAGTTTGGGCGTGTGGATTGAGTTCCGGAACTTTTGGCGATCACCAAGAAGTTGCACACAGGAACAGGCAACCAAACCTTTGACCACAATTACTGTACCAAGCTCAGGAAACCCTGCAACAATTTGAAGGATCACGGCGCCAAGCCAGACACTGGGAACCTGGATGGCCAACACCACGGGGACGAATCACAAACTCACACAGACCACTCCCAGCCAATCACAAAGGAGCCTCCCATCTTCCGTTGCACAGTGTGCGCATGAGGCAAGCTTCCAATGCGGCGCGAATTGCGGAGGGTACAGGACTATAGGGGGACATATAGGAGCCAAATAATCGGGCTTTAGGGCCCCAATGCCATTAACATTATAGTATTTGGGCCCTAAAACCCTGTTATTTGTGTCCTTTATACCCCTATATAATCCCCATATATCCTTATATATCCTCCCTATAACCCCTTTTTATTCTGACGAGAAGCAGGTCATCGAGACCACTAACGTTGCAAGCTGCGCTCTGCCTGATTTGTGCAGAGCCTCATCCACGGAATGTTATATCAGGCTGTGTGGGGTTTCGGGTTTAGGGTGAGGGTTTAGGGTTTAGGGGTATATGACAACCTTTAAGAAGGAGATACCAGGCTATACAGCGTCTTGCGGAAGATCGGTGATGTCATCAACTGTCCTCAAGTGTTCCAAGTGTCGTACCCCCGGAGAGGAGGCTGAGCTTGGAAAAACATTTTGTCTGTGCTGTTTCTACATCAGAGAACACACACGCGTTATCTTATCAGTGGATACTAAAGATCCTGCATGAGCCTGTTGCACGAGCGCTGCATTCATAGAACCAGCGGTGCCACCCTGAACGCAGGTTGCTGGAGGCAGCTGGGGGGTCTGAAGATTTAGGGACCACTTTTTGGGAGCCCCAAAATAAGGATGATAGTATATTGCGGTCTAAGATGTCTAAATGGAGCCTCTCATTCATGGAAATTGCTAGCTCTTGCATAGCTTCCATGAGCGCAGCAAGCCGCCTGACAAGGTCCAGGATTTGAGGTCCCGGCCTCTTCTTCTGGGTGTGCCCATCAAGCACCATATCTTTCCCAAATTTGAGGTCTCAGAGGGTTTAGGGTACAAGCTGACATTGAACATGCACCTGTGACCGAAGGAAAGATGATCAAAGTCTCGGAATTCTGAAGCACACCAAACCGACTCGCTTGGCAAGCAGGTTTAATGCACCCAAGCCCATCACTGACCGCTTTCCATGAAAGAAGTAAGTTGCGCAAGAGTGGCATTTGGAGGAAAACCTGTCCTATATTTATGCACCGCTCCCCCGTCCTACATGGATTACACATGGGGGAGTCCCAGTCCCAGACCCTAGACTTGCAATCCCAAGCAGTAAACCATGAAACCCTGAACCCTTGGAGTGCTCGGCCATCTGCCACAAGTTTTCTTGTTGCTGTCAAAGAACTCAGGTTGCTCAGGACATGCCGCTTGGCTGCCAGGCTAGCTTTGGACTTATGGGCCTGCTTTTGAGATTGAAGGCTGCACAGCAGCGGCTGGATCATTCAGGGTGCCCATGGAAATACCCGATTTTGATAAAATCCCACCCGGACTGACTTTGCAGAAAAACATTTGCTGTGCCCAGCTGCTTACCACCAAATAGCCGTCGCTGCCGCTAAAGTGCACTGCTGTAACGGATCTCCAGGCATCCAGGGTACAGACTGCGTCCATTCCAAGCATAGCAAGTCCTGCAACGAAGGCCTTGGTACGCCGGCAGCCAAAAGTAACAACCTTGCCCTGGCACAGCTGTTGTCTCACATGCACGGAAGTCGCTTTAAGCGCTGCACAAGAACCATTATTTTCTGCAGGCAATCCTGGAAATATCTTGCTTTTTCGGAGCTAGCCAATAGTGACGTCTTTGCTTGTGGGAACATCATTCCAAGCCTTCTGTCGGTACGGCACGACCAGCCCTCTGTGGCTGGCTGGTTACTCCGCTCAATGGAGGAAATCTTGCAACCCTTAGCTTCTCCGCAAAAGCATGAACCAACCAGATGTTTTGCAACAATTGCAAATCTACGTGGGCCAACTTCTTTCAAAGGCAAACGCTGACTTGCTGTCTCTGTTACGGGATAACTCGAAACAAATGCCCCATCAAGAAGAACAGCGACAACGATAACGACATCCAAATGCTCCAGGTTCAAGCTCTAATGCAACCAGTGCAATCGAGATGTCCACAAGTGTACACTAGCCCTTTCGAGAAACCCTTACAGGACCCCAGCAAAAGCGCTCTCACTCTTTTTGCTTTCGAGATGGCGGAAATCCCTGTCGTAGCCGGAGAGGACCTCCTGCCACCAGGCAGGCTCCTCTCGGGCACTTCAAAATTGCCTTTCATGTCCGTGTCCTGTCAAAACATGCCAAAACAGAACATGAAAACTCTCAAACTCCCATGTACATGAAAATCAGATCTAGATTAAGTTCACTTCTTTCGTCCCCTACGAACGATGGCTCGTACCTACGGCACTCGCCTTTGACTATCGGGCTAGCATACACTGTCGTAATTCGTCCCTCATCACGAATGCGTACACTAGCCCTTTCGAGAAACCCTTACAGGACCCCAGCAAAAGCGCTCTCAGTCATTTTGCTTTCGAGATGGCGGAAATCCCTGTCGTAGCCGGAGAGGACCTCCTGCCACCAGGCAGGCTCCTCTCCCCTTGCGAAGACGTTCCGGCTACCAGGGTTGTAGCCTTCTCGCTCTTTTGCTTGCGGGGAGTTTTACTGTCGCTGAGGCCTTCCGTGCCTTCACTTCCTTGTAGAAACTGTCGGAGTGTCGAAGAAGCTTATCTAGCACCTTCCACTCCAGCTCCTCCCCCTTCAGGGGGATTCTGAAGGCGCTGTCGAACACGTCGAATTTCTCATTCGTAAGATCATCTGCCAATTGGTTATGATCTCTCCTCAGCCAACTTAGCTCCAGTTGACTGTTCTTGCTGGCGAGCTCCTCAGTCAGTTCCATGAGGATTAATGTTGATGGGAATTTTGTCGTCATGCCTTTCCTGACGAGGCTCTCGTTCGACTTGTTGTGAGTAAAGCCCCTCATGGACACTATTGATAGCTGCCGTCTGTCACTTTCAGGGACCCAGAGCTGCACCGCGATCAAGGTCGCTAGGAGCTCTAGGGCCGCTATGACTCTTTTCGTGTCGCCTTTGACGAAGGCCAAGGAGCCCAACTTTCGGTGACTTCCAAAGAAAACCAGGGACCCTGGCAACCCTCAACGATGTCAAGAAATCCCCCAACCCAGGCTCTGCCGTCCGCTGCCTTGGCGTCCGTGAAGAATCTCAATTCTGTCGATAGCTTTGATGGAGCTTGGAGCCTGTCGTTGCCCTCCAGTCTCTCTGCCAACCACAGACAGAGCACTCTAATCATGACTGGGATCTTCATCTCCCCAATCTTCCCTTGTGTTTCCTATCGTCTCATCTTCTACAATCACTGCCAGGGCGGCCACTGCCGTGTCTTCACCGACTTTCTCGCGGTACTGTCGCGATGTCATCTTTTCCATCATGCCTTCCGCGATGTCCTCCTCAAATTTCTCTTTCGCAAAGTCTAGGTGTTCTCTGACGGAGGCGTAGTTCGGAACCCACTGTAAAGCAGGCTCAACCACATCCTTGTCTAGCGGCCATGCAACCTGCTCTTCGAAAACATGGGGGGTCCTCGGGAGCGGGGTCTTCACCCCCACTGGAAAACCCTCCTCCGCCTGTCCCAAGAAATCTCTGTCAGGGCCCCCTGCCGCTTCCAAAATGGCCCTCAGCAGCCTGAGCCTAAGCAGTTGCCCTGGCGTGATATCGCAAAGGCCTTCCACTGCCAGACCTCTTTCGGTGAGCCAGGTCTCCCAGAGCTCCAGCAGTTTCTGACGAAGTTCCATGTCGGTCACCAGACGACAACCCTTCTCGCCTTTCGTTGCCATGTGGAAGCATTCCTTTTCCAAACGCGACTCACTTCCAACCGAGTTCATGACGATCTCCCACATGTCGTGTCGGAGTTGGCCCCAATGATGATCACTGGCGTGCTACCTCCTTTCCGGAGGCCATCTTCCTGGCGAACAAAGTCCTCCTCCATCGCTGTCGGACATGATCTTGGCTCCCCCCATCCTCCCAGCACTGCTGGTCCTTCTGGATGATTTACAGGGTAAGGCTGTCTCGAAGGTGTCGATGGCGACGCTCCGGTCTCCCCACTTGCTGTCGTAGCGGGGAGCGTCTCCAGAGCATCCATGAGGCGCTATCCATGTGCACAGCGCTGGAGGCCGCTGCTCTGTGCCTGTCGTCAGAAAGGGGCCTGACGATTGCTTCATCTTTCCTGGGACCCTTGAGAGGGGGCCCAAGTAAATGCCTTCCGAATCGAAAACTGGCGGACCCTGCCTGCAGCAGGACGGTAGCTCTGTCTTTCCCTTCCAGACAAAACGTGTCGGTTTCGGACAGTCGCCTCCGAAGTCCGACTGGTGTGTTGCGAAAGTCTGAACCTTGCCTGTCGCTATCGCTGCTTTGAATTCATCCCACTGCCACACGCTGGCAGGTCTACCGCCACGATTTGGGCCGTGTGTAATGGCCCCCAGGTCTTCCGGATTTTCGAACGCCAGGAAAACTATCGAGCCTGAACGCCTTGAGCCAGGAGACTTGAGGATGGTGTTGAGTTAGGGCTTTAAAGGGGACAGTACTCAAAACAGTTTTACCAAGAAGGTTTCACAAACGGTTTCAACCCTTGCAAAAGCAAACTTGACAAACTGACATGTCTGACGCAGAACGCCCGATCGTTTTCTCAGAAAGTGTGCAAGCTGTACCTCAGTCTGACCTCTACCTGCGCGGGCAG